CACTACGTTACCATTTCGAAACCTGGCTCTGCCTTCTTCTCAGAATTCGCTGCTGGCATGGAAAAGATGGGAAATCTGGGGGTGCTCACTGTCACTGTGGGGCAAGTTCGCAGGACATGTCAGCTCGTAAACTAGAAAGCCATTCTAGAGTCTCCACCAAAAAAGAAAAAAAGTACGCACGACTGTCGAAAGGAGCCGTATGTTGATTGGCCGGGCGCACTTGAAAGTGAAGTCGGTAACGTACAAGTCAGAATCGAGAAACTAAACAACGTTTAAATAAGCATTTAAATATATCGGCAAGGATCATGTTTTCTAAGTTTTTAGTATGATCATTCTTAACTCTGATAAGAGGCTTAATTAGTAATTGAATAGAGGCATCAGGCTGATTATTATAGATCGATTGACAGAGATATTTATTTTTGGCCATAAAGCCTCGCGCAACCTCTATGATCCATGAGATAATCTATTGTACGGGGGCATTTGTTTATTGGAGATAGATAAACGAGCCCTTGCACAAAAGCAATAGATACTAGATAAATTTTCCTCTTTTTCCTCTTCCTTTAGATTTTAAAAAACCTTAAAATTTGTAGTCTTATGAAGTCTTTGAAAACTTGTAAAGATTGATGTTAGAAACATATAAATGGTAAATGGTAAATAAATGGTAAATGGTATACATCCACAGACCAAGTTGTACTGCACTCTTTCGAAATCACAACAATACCAATGTGAATTCACTTTGACTTACACTTCGACTTTTTGAGTCACCCAAGAAATGAGCCGACTCACTCGCATATCTTACCTTTGTATATTTGACAAAGAATCTTCCTCCCAGTAGTCCAGGTGTGCTTGACGTCACTGACCTCTAGCAACGAAAACTGTGTCATGTCAGACATCAGACTGCAAACTGCTCAGTATATGACCTCCAAGCGATTTGTGACTAGTCTTCCTCAACTTGCAGTGAGAACAGATTTTCGATGCGAAACATGTGTATTCACCAAGCAACACCAGGCGAAGAATCCAAGCAAGCTACAAAGAAAACAACTCGGTCACTACAGCTTATTCACAGTGATCTATGTGGACGAGTTAAAGCCGACACTGTGTTCAAATATCTGTTGACTTTCACAAATCATGTAGCGAACTTGGCCGGTGAAAAAGCAAACATCACCTTGAACGAGTCGTTGCGTGAAATTCAAGCTCACAAGCAGCTTTATTTGCAGGCACTGAAGTCCTGTAAGCCTAGACTGCTAAGAAAACAGTATTTTACTTTGTGCAACAGGAGGACGTCAGTGCTTCCGAAATATAGATAGGAGTATGTATGCTAACTTTGGTGCCCATAGACCAGTACATTAATATTATGACTGATGATACTTCCACGTCTTGGCTACTTCTGGCTGGCAGACCAGTCCGAAGCTAGTTAAAATACGAGGAATTTGACCAGGATGTGAGGTGTAACCTTTTGAGTGACGTAGATAATATAAAAAATACTAGAAAAGAGTGGTCCCAAAGCCAAGAGTAGGAATGGATGGATGATTTGAAAATGATGTTGTCTTTTTAAGATCCCAAAGCTCGTAAAAGAGGAGAGTCACCATCTTGTGGCGACATTCCAACAACCAGGGTGAAACCTAAACATATTGTGTAATCATTGATCCTAGTATATTTTCATTAATTGAACAGGACATGGAATCTAAATGTTATCCTAGTGATCGAGTAAACTTCTTGGAGTGCTAGAAGGTGGACAAGGAAATGCTTTGGGAGAACAAATAACAAGAAGAAGTTATTGTAGGCCAAAATGATGCTAGTCACACTAACAAAGCAGCATCCCCATACCATTGTTGCTAGATAGATATTACACATGAACTTTCCCTTAACGTGAACAAATGCCTTACATATGAAAGAGATGCAATAATTTAGAATTTCAATCATAATTAAGATCTTTCAGTATGGGAAGAGACCTCGAACAGACCTGAACCAACATCAGTTGGCGATTGGTAGAGAAGTCCAGGATTTGCATTAATGGTGGTCACAATCGCTCTAAAACAGTTTTGAATCTGCTCAGCGTTAATACGGTCCACATGCTTAAGCACACGAGCTTCATGTTAAAGTTATATGTTTCACTCTATAAAATCTCTTGTTTATCATTTACATTTTGGAGCACTAGTATGATAGTATAACTTATCTGTGCAATGGGAAGAGTTCAAAAGCACCAAAAAGTAAGAAGTAATTGTTGAATCTAAGGCCTAGATTGGATCCTTTCCAGGTGAGGTTATCCGGTTGGATAACCTCCTGGAAAGGATCTTGGATAAAACTTGGTTTCAAGAGTTGTCAGGGTCAGGATTTATTGAATAACGTCTTGTGGACATCGTTCGTATTTTGGTTGTTGCTAGGATGATATATTCATCAGTGGATAATTTTGTGAACTTTATTCATTCAATAAAGTCTAAACATCTGTGTCCCCGTTAGGGTTCGCGTGCAAAAATCGTAAAGCCATTTCTGACCTCTTGCTCCTTCGCACCGAAGACCGTAAAGTATCTGCTTTACGGGCAGAAAATGACCAAAAAAGTCCCTGGGCTCTCCCGCTTGTCGAGTTCTCCTTGACCCGAGTGTTGATTTGTTCTGCCAATTGAACTTCGAATCTTCTCATTAACTATTTTCTTTGAGACAGGATCAGTTTACATATAGAATTAAAAAACTTAAGACAGACTTGTAGTTGAGCATATTTTCTTTGTATCTCTAAGAAACCAATATCAATTTACAGCAATTGAGTAAAAACTGCCTGACTAATTTGTAGCACAAGATAAGAAATCAACCAGAACTATTCTCTTACAAATTTTTCATCATCTTACTTAAGTCCAGTTTACTCTTCCATGAGAGAGTGTGACTTTGTAGCTAGCACAACAGGAAATTAAAACTTCTAATTCATCAGTGTGTACTTTCAAACGCAAAAGCCAAACGAAACAGTGGAACATCTCTTATCTCACATGATTAGAGCACGAGGGTTGTGATTAGAACATGACTCATGTAAATAACTGATCCTCTCTAAGCAAATCTGAGCACAGTTTAAGGACAGGTTCGGATCGGCCATGGCGAGGGAGGAAACAGAGAGCAAATAACAGCTGGACATGTAGAGAGATAACTGGTTCGGTTGACCTGGTCAAACGACCCATTATTGGTTTATGGTGGAAAAAGCTATACGGGGATCGGTATCTGGCTTTGTTAGAAAGGCAGAACTCCGAGAGTTAATGTTTACTTCACTTTCTTTGCAGCCTTTCACACAATGATCGACAGGGACAAGCATTGATTCTTTACACGTCAGAAAATTGCAATCCTGCCCTACGGTAGACGTCCAAAGGCAGTCGCCTCTTTATAAGTAGATTCAGAGGATTGCGCCTCACTACGGTGACTCCGAACTTCTCTTCAACATCTACGTCCAGATGAGTCAAGCCTTCGGGCAGCGAGATTGTAAAATAGACATGAATAAGTCCATTCCACTTTTCACTTGGTAATCTTCAAGGTCACAAGTTGGTGAAAGGAACCTAGTGAATATTAAGAAACCATGAGAAGATACATACAAGCGTTACGAAGAAGAAAATTAACAGATACAAACGTCACATATTCATATATATGGCTAAATTTAAGCAAGTGTAAAGGTCGGCAGGTTCCGAAGGTTTATTTATGATTTTACTTGACAAAGCATGTGATTCTTTCTGCCCATCTATCTCATGCTTCTAAAGGGTGGCCAACTTCCTATGCAAAAAGAAGAAGCTCTGGGGGCAGGGACTTCGGACCAACACTTCAGACCAACCACGAATTGTGTAAACTTCTAGAAGAGAATAGAGAGAGAAAAAAAGACCAGAAGTCTGCGAGGATTCATTGCCCCAGCAGTGGAAATCGAAACTTCTGCCTTGCACGTGGAGAGGTCACACACGAGAAACCCAAGCACCTTCTTCATCCACTTGACTTTGAAATATTGAAGTCAATCTCATGCAAAAATCTGAAGTCAAATTGATGTAATGATCAAGTAAGCACCTGCGCATCAAAGTGGTCAGACACAGAAAAACGAATCCCAATTCAGCTTCCGAACAAGTCAATAGCTTGAGCATGGAAAACACGCTTTTCTGTGTTTCTGGGTGCTGAATTAAGGCTTGTAAAGTTGGAGATACTGATCACAATAATGATGTACATCTCAGATTATTATTATGATTAATATCCAGCGGATGCAGGAGGTGAGAACCAGATGAACCTCGTAGCCTCATGAGGGCGGTCTTTACCACGTTCAGACAGCAGAGTCCGACTGCGCTCGTACTATCCGTTGAGGTGTAGGCTCAGTATGCAGCACAATGCGGGAGGCGGCACGTGTCGCCAACGTCAGCCCGCCGCAATTACACTTGCGAACTATTATCGGTGCCGTATAGTCCGGTGACGGCAATCCGATCCGATATTCTGACCGACGGACGACGGATATCCATCTCCCGCCAGAATATCGAACCGGCTGGTCGCGATTACGGACGGTCTCAGTCATAAAGTGGCCTGTCAGATCCGACGGAGGCGATGTGAAGATCTCCACCGTGTAGGGATAAGATCGGACGAAGAGCAGGCAGGTCCTGCTGTGGGGCCCGCGACGGCTGTTCTGGTGCGGCAGTACGTCCTGCCCTCCAGGCGGGACCGGCCCGTCCGGTGCCTGGGACTGGAGCCATCTCAGAAGCCTCTCTCCTGCTGGACGTGCGAACCGGTCGTCGACATTCTCCCACCTTCCCCTCCGGGTCGTCCGTCCTTGTCGCCACACAGCCCAAACGGGACTGTCCTCCCTTGGCCCATATCCCCGTCCCGTACCTGTCCCTGTCCCGGTCCCCACAAAGGGACAATCCAGCCTACCCGGCCAGCCACCACCAGACCCACAACGTCCACTGGTTCCCCCGTTTGGACAGGCCGTTTGCATTTTGCCCTTTGTAGATTTGCGAATATAAGAGGGAGAGAGGGGAGGAAGGAGGAGGGAGATCCTGGAGGGGAGAAGAAGTCAAGTCAAGGGCTTCTCAAGATCTGTGGCTCATCCTTTATTGGTCGTCCACATGTTTTGCTGCCCTGAATCCTCCTGATCCAGGCCTCGAGGGGTCACAGCTTGTGGTGGACGACGATTAGCAAGAGAGAGAGGCTTATGCTGAAGGTTTGATTCGACTTCCGATGATTTCATGCCCTGGTATTTGGGTCGTTCCAGTCATGCTCTCGGTTTTGGATCCTTCTAAAAAGTCCAGTCGTCAAGTGATATTCCATTCTTCTCTTCTCTCCTTCCTAAATATACATTTTGGAGGAAATTTTTTATGGCTATCACCAAGTAATTATATCATAGCTGAGTCTGGACTTTGCTGCATCTGCAGTCGTCTCATGGCTTGATTCGAGTCAAGGGTCCAAGGGGATAAATACCCACTTTGCAGGGCCTTTCATCCTCGTCGCACAAGCCATAGAGGTGAGAGATATGGAGGACATCACTGCTGTACCCACGAGCTGGTCTGTGCAATTTATTGCAGCACTGGTTTTCCTGTACGTCCTGCAGAAGGTTTTCAGGAGAGTAAGATATACGGGCGGGAAAAGACCTCCTGGTCCCCCATCGTTGCCATTGATTGGCCATTTCCATCACCTTTTATTCGGGTTGCCTCACCACTCCCTCGCCAGAATCGCTGAAAAATATGGACCCATAGTGTGGCTGGAACTGGGAGCTGTAAATGCTGTGCTTGTAAGCTCGTCGGATATGGCCAGGGAGTTTTTGAAGACTCAAGATCACATATTTGCGTCTCGCCCTTCGGGGATTCTGGTAGAGAAAGTGTTCAAGAAAGCTCAGGGTATAATATGGAGTCCTTTGAATGACCACTTTCGTCTAGCCCGGAAAATCAATTCCACAGAACTTTTTTCAGAAAAGCGGATGGACTCATTTAAGGTACAAGTCCAATTGGTCGGAAGAGTCTGGTCCCATGCACTATCTCCTTCTAAGGAAAAATTGACTAGGCTCTAAGAACTACATCGAACTAGGCCTGTCTATTAGAAGAGGTCCACATTTTGTTTGAAGAGCATCTCATGTGGACAACCAGTCAATACAGATAGCTGAGGGAAACACTCTACAAAGTGCTGCTAATTTCTGTCCCTGACACCGAGAACAAAGAATTACCTCTTAGTTTTCTCAAGGCTGCACCAATTCCACAGTTTGTTCTTCTCACAAACTGCAAAATGGCTCGCATTTGGCCTTCGCAAGAAGAGTTTCAAATCCTCTGGTCTCTCACGGACACCAGCTCATGTTTCTCTCGTTAAAATCATGATTCCTTTCTGTCGCGTGTGCAGCATGTCGCCATTTTTTGCGCCATTAACGTTTAGAAAGTGACTCGTGCAGGATCTGAGGCGACAGATGACTTTCAGAACTTTGCGGACTGCATTCGAGGAGGGTCATGCAAAGCGTTACATAAATTTAGCTGGTTTAATGCACAACCAGTTTTTATCTTTGACTACCCGAATGTTATTTCAACTGGATGGACATGCTCAGAACAAGGACCTTTTGGAAATTGTTGATGATTTTACAAGTGCAGGATGGTTCGTAATAGAAGAGTTCTTCCCTTTGCTTAAGCCACTTGATCTGAGCGGACAAGTTAGAAGACTGAAAAATATTGGTGAAAGATATTTCGAACTTATGGATTCCATCATCGACAACCGCCTGAAGGAAAATTCCAACTCCAAGTCCAATACTGAAGAAGACTTCTTGGATGTGCTGTTAGCTACGAGCAAATTTTCACGTGTTCAAGTCCAAATCCTTCTTCTGGTTAGTGACAGATGCTAACCTCTTCCGCTCGAATGTTAGATTGCATGACGATTGTCTTCCTTCTGACATCGATTACTCGCTATGAGTCGAAAGAGTGCATGTTATGTATCACATTTTTAACGCTGTTTTGAGCTTATATTCTCCTGCACAGACATCAGCATAGGCAAAATTGGATCGTGGATCTTCTTAATTCTTTCTTACAGCAAATCGCAAGTTCATTGCACAAAATAGTGTAAGGATGACAATGGCAATACTACATGGACGCGAATATCAATATTCTCACGAGCTGTATCGTCGTCTGACATGACCACTAATATCGGTGATCCTTCAACCAGGACATCATCATGGCTGGAACTGATACCAGCTCTGATACGATTGTGTGGGCAATCACTGAGCTTCTGCGGCATCCCAATATTTTGGAAAGACTTCAGAGTGAGCTCGACGATGTGATCGGTACAGAAAGGCTGGTTGAAGAAGCAGACCTCAACAACCTCGAGTATCTGCAGGCAGTGGTGAAGGAAACACTACGGCTGCACCCAGTCGCTGCTTTGGGAGTTCCTCATTATTCGACGGAGGCAACGAAAGTAGCAGGATACGATATCCCTGCCAACACCCGTGTAATGCTGAACCTTTATGCCATTGGCAGAGATCCTAAGGTTTGGGAAAATCCTCTGAAGTTTGATCCTTCAAGATTCTTAAACAGCCCTGTAGATGTGCGAGGGCACCACTACGAGGTTCTGCCCTTCGGTGCTGGGCGAAGGAAGTGCCCGGGCATGAATTTGGGGCTCGTCTCTGTGGCCTATAACCTCGCCCAGCTCGTTCATGCCTGTTCAATCTCCCTGCCCGAAGGCTGGACTCATGTGGACGTAGATGTTGAAGAGAAGATGGGAGTCGTCGTAACGAGGCGGAATCCTCTGAATCTACTCATAAAGAGGCGACTGCCTTTGGACGTCTATCGTAGGGCAGGATTGCAATTTTCTGTCGTGTAAAGAATCAATGCTCGTTCTAGTCGATCATACAGCCTAACGCTTCAAAGAGAGTTTAGTAGAAATTAATTCTCTCAGTTATGCTTTTCTTATGAAGCCAGAAGTCGACCTCCGTATAGCTTTTTCCTTGACAAACCAATAATGGGTCGGCTTTTTGTGTCAACCGTATCAGTTATCTCTCTACCTGTCCAGCTGTTATTTGTTGTCCATTTCCTCCCTCGCCATGAACGAATCCGAACCTGTCCTGAAATTTGTGTTCAGATTTGTTCAGATCGTTCAGATTTGTTAAGAGAGGATCAGTTATTTACATGAGTCATGTTCTTATCACAACCCTCATGCTCTAATCATGTGAGATAAGAGATGTTACAGTGTTTAGTTTTGCTCTTGCGTAATAAAGTACACTCGGTCACTAGAGGAAAATTTTGATTATGTGTCTTCTCAAATAATCAAAATATACAAGTATCAATAATTACACAATTTGTTGAAATTTAACCTTGGTTTTTTGAATGTCACCACAGCATGGTGACTCTCCTCTCTTACGAGCTTTGGGATCTTAAAAAGACAACATCATTTTCAAATCATCCATTCATTCGTACCCTTGGCTTTGGGACCACACTCTTTTCTAGTATTTTAAATATTATGTACGTCACTCAAAAGGTTACAACTCTGATCCTCTTCAAATTGCTCAAAGTATCTAAACTGGCTTCGGACTGATCTGGCAGAGCAGGAAGTAGCCTAGATGTTGAAATATTATCAGTCATAATATTAATGTATTGGTCTATGTGCACTAAAGCTAGCATACATATTGCTATCTCTATCTCCGAAGCACTAAGATTCCTCCTGTTCCACAAAATGAAGTACCGAGTTGTTTTCTTTGTAGCTTGCTTGGCTTTCTTCGCTCGGTGTTGCTTGGCGAGTACACATGAAAATCTTTGCTCACTGCAAGTTGAGGAAGACAGATCACAAATTGCTGGGAGGTCATAAAGTTAACAGTTTGCAGTCTGAATTTTGACACGACACAGTTCTCGATCTGGAGTTCAGTGATGTCAAGGACAACTGAAGTACTCAGAGGAAGATTTTTCGTGAGGTCCTGCTCATTGTGGTCCAGGAAAATCAGCTCGGGATTCGTCGCTACCTTGATCCGCGTCCGATTCCTGACCAATTCGACGTAGTATCCCCGATGGCGGGGATCTGCATACCTTGCTGCCTTGCGATCAAGGTACCGCAGTAGCGTTACCACCTGCTCGCAAAGCACTTCCGTCAGTGTGCTTTGCACCGACTCCACTTCCTCCTCCTCTAATGGAGGCGTATGCTCCGTCCAAGGCGCTGGACCTCGGCCTAAGCCCCCCTGTAATGACAGACAAATACCAAAATGGAGCATAATGGTATAGATCCGATCCCACGAGGACAGAAACAAACACAAAAGTCACGATTTGTCACAAGATAGCATTCTATTACAAAGTTTTCCTTCTTAGGCCAATGCTACTCCCAGAAGACACCACTCAACTAGAGCCGAAGACTGAGAAGGTAGTGCAAAACCATACTCACAACCTGAAACTTTTCTGTGGTACCCCACTTTTGGCAATTTTGAGGAAATTAAAACATTTTTGGAAAACTGTACCCCGGCAGCATTGTAAATAGCCTTCGGTACATCAAAACAGAGTGAATCCGGAAGATCGCGGGGATTCTCGAGGGATCTTGTAGAATCTGGGATTTGGGGTGCAGTAGTAAGGTCAGGCACCACCCTCCCTGCGAGCTCCGCAGTTAGGATCTCTACGGCGCAAGGCGCAAAACCCGCCTTCGGAGGTTGCGTCCGCGGCTGTAGGGAAACCCTCGTAATTAGGTAACCCTCGGGCGCCTTGACCAAGTTAGGATCCCGTTGGAAAGAGCTCGACGCGCTGATTCCAACGAGCCCAAGAACGCTTGGAACGGACGAGGACTTAGGGAGTTATCGCTACTGGAAGAAACGGAGGCGGTCGCCTGCGGCGGAAGGAGTTCGCCACCGGCGCGAATTCCGCCTGCGCGGAAGGGGGATTCAAGTTTTGTCCTATGCGCGGACGAAGGCGTTCGCCTGTGCACAGGCGAAGTAGGGTTAGGGAAGGCGCGAAGTCCGCCTACGCACAGGCGTTCGCCTGTGCACAGGCACTTCGGCGTCGGCGGGAGATCCGCCTTGGGCCCTAGAAATGCGCCTTGTGAGGTAGAAAGAGTACGGCGCCTTCCGCGCCAGCGCAGCGCAGCGTACGTCGGAAGACCGCCAGAGTAATCCAATCGGTACGGACCATGCGGACGGCACGGGTGGATGCGCTCTTGGACGGACGGAGTTGCGGCGGCGGAAGCGCCGACGGAGAGACAAGGAACGGACAGACTGGACGGAGACGGCTGACCACGGTCAACGCCTTCCGCGCCAGCGCAGCGCCGCGGACGGAATTCGCCTGCGCACAGGAGAACGCCGGTGCACAGGAGAATGTTCAAGTTCCGCGCCGGCGGAGAATCCGCCGAGGCCCCTGCCTGCGCACAGGCAGGAGTTGAATTTTTGTCCGACATGCGGACGCACGCGTCAAGGCAGAAGGAGATTGGCCGAGGGGCGGTACGAACAAGTGTACCGCGCAAGGCGGAAAACTCGCCTTCGGCGCTACGCCCCCATGTCCGGAGGGTGACACGCTCGCGGAGTTCAAATCCGCCAATTCGAGCGTGAGAGTTTAATCGACGACGGCGGAGCGTGAAGCCGCGCGTGAGAGCGAAGACCGTTCCAGCGTACAGCCGGCGCGGCCATCAAGTGAGACGTTCTTCACGACCAAGAGACGACCATGACCTTCGACCGGGCGGCGGAGAGCGTCCCATTCTTGAATTCGCGATTCCAATCTCTTGTGCGCGCTGCGCGCATCCATCTGCTGGCTGCGGACCATTCTCGTCGTCGTCGCACAGGAGATTTCTTGTTGATTGAGGGAGAAGTGAGTGCGCGTGATTTGGAATTGAGAGCGATTAGAGTTTGCCGAGAGAGAAGGAAACGCGGACAGTGCGGAAGTAGAATGAGCGGGCGAGCGAACCCCAGGAACGCAATGACGAGACCGAGCAGATTGCGGATGGTGCCACTTCGCCTGCCGCAGAACGGGCTGCGCGCTTTCGAAGAGCGCTTAATAGCAAGAAAGCTCGATTTCTTGCTATGGGGATGGAATTACATCTGCGCGAATATGGTGCGCGAGTGGCTAGAGCCACAGGGACCACCCTCGCGCGGATTGCGTCCGCATGTTGACCGGTGGACAGTCCAAGATTGGGCGCAGGCGTTGGGAAGATGTGCTGGCATGCCAGGGCATCTCCTTTTCGACAGCGAGAGCATCAAGGTGACCAAGCAAGAAGAAGCGCAATTTGTGGAGCTGTTCAAGACCGGGAGGTCTACCAAGAATGGGTACAGGACCCGTGATTACAAAGATCGATTTCGCCGGACTTTGTCCGCGGCGCTGATGCAATTACTGCAGCCGCACCGCGCCTGCTACATCACATTGTGGCAGGTCTCTTTTGTGGAGTGCGTCATCGAGGGAACTCCAATTCACTGGGCGAGCATCCTGCACAGAGTGATGCGACAGCACGCGTTTGAGGAGAAGGGGGGAACGCTAAACCATCTTTCTCCTTTCCTCATCAATTTTTATCGACAGCGGAATTGTTTGACAGCGGCGGAGCTTGAACATTTTCCGCCATTGTCCATCGACCATCCCGGAAAGTATGTGCGGGAGAACGAGGTCGACACTAATGCGGAGGAGTCACCGACTTCTACCCCATCAAGACGGAGAGACGAAGGGAGACACACCCCTGCAGCGCGAGTGCCGCGGAAGCGGCGATGGAGGGAAGAGGCCGAAGAGGAGCAGCATCAAGAACTCTCTGTTCCCATTCGACCGCGGCCGCTGTGCGAGCCATACAGCCGGCCGAAGCAGAAGGCACGCAGACTGGTGTTGCCAGCTGATAGTGCAGACACGGCGACGATTGCGACGGAGATAGGAAGTGCGTCGCCAGAGAGACGAGAGGAAGCGCGGACGACCGCAGGAGCGACGGGCCACGCTGCAACCTCGTCGGGAGAGAGGCCGCCTACGGGCCAAGGGCCTCCGGAGTTACCACGTGCGATGCGGACAGATGTTCCGTTTGCGCACAGGCGAACCTCCGCGGACGGACGAGCCTCCGCGGATCGGCGAACACAAGTGGACGTGGATCTACGCTTACGCGTGGGAAGGAGCAGTCCGCCTGTGCACAGGTCACCTGTGCACAGAACACCTCCACACGTGCCGCCTGTGCACAGGCAAGAATCACCCCCGTTCCAACGTAGGAAGGGGAAGGAGCCGGCGGAAGAACCGCCTACGAGACACCGGCCCTCGGGGCCAGACCCTCCGGCGCACCACGCGCCGCAATTCGCGCCTTCGGCGCCAGGGCCTTCGAGCCGAGGGGATACGAGCAGAGAGCGTGCGGAGGCCGCACCATCGGCGGGAAGTACGCCGATAGATGCGCCTTCGGCGGTAGGGCCTATAGGCCAAGGAACATCGGGCGTGCGGCCCCCGGCCATGTCGCCTTCGGCGATAGATGTCCGCGGCGCTACGCCTGCGACGGACAAGGCGCCGGCAAATGCGCCTGCGCACGGGCCGGGCACAGCCCCCACGGACCGATCAAGGGAGCAGCAGACGGAGGAGCGGAGTGACTGCCCGCGGGACGACATCTCGATGCGCGATGCGCAATACAACCCCGCGCAGCCACCCTCCGCTCGATCGCCTTCGGCGACGGACGACGGCGACAGAGAGAATGCGGTGGGCAATCAACCAGCGAGCGACAGGGATGCCGCTCGGATACATTCGCCTTCCGCCTTAGACATTTTGGCGACGAGCAGCGAGGCTGCAGCCGTGCCTTCGCAGGCAGCACACGTCGAGGACGTGCAGCCCCACTCGGGGCAGTCGCCGACGCAATCAATGGCGACTGAAATTCTCCACTCGGATGATGAGGACGGAGGCTCCACGGAAGAAAGGTCAGGAGCAGAAGACACCGAGGAGGAGGAGGAGGAAATTGTTGGAGCGCCGGCGGCGGCGCTCTCTGAGCAGGTGATTCCGTTGCTGCGGTACTTGGATCGCAAGGTCGATAAATACGCCGACCCACTCCAGCCGGGATCTTACATCGAGTTAGTGCGCAGGCGGACTCGCACTAAAGTCCACACCAGCAAGCTATTAGCTAGAGTGGACCAGGAGTTGAGGGACTTGAAGGAGAAGCATGAGTGCTTGTGGGGACAGTACAAGCTTAATCAGAAATTCTACAAGCACTCCGAGAAGATGAAGGATGAGAAACTGGGCGAGCTCACCAAGGAGCAGGTGAAGGTCAAGGAAGCACTC